TGTTATCGCTCATCCCTCCACAGCCTTGCTCGAGAATGTGTAGGCAGCACACAATGATAATGCACAAATTATGATTCCTAAAAGACGATGGGCACACATACGCTGCTCGAATTACTTTCGTGCACGCAAAAGCTCGCGTTCATTCGCATAATGTCGTACACACACGCGCGCGCTCGTGCAGTGGATCCACGGCGCATGAAACTGCAAAATTTCTCCACAATCAGTGAATATCATCTCCTCTCTCTCGCTGTGCCTTGGCTTTTAAGTATCTATGAGTGACAGATTTACAGCTGCAGATTAGTTTGCTCTATAAGTGAAGGTATATATACGTACATAGTACACACTCGCGCAGGTCTATATGCTGTATACTTGCATATAGAGGCATATTAACATCATATTGTACACACACATAGATATAATATACGTATGTATATGCGCGTATTATATACACACATTTTTCCTTTTTTAAACTCTTTAGAAAGTTCGGTTCGGATTTTCGTCTCGTTAGAATAGAACGTCGGCGGAATTAATAGTCGCCGTGATATTATATGCCTATTATGTGTGTACCACATATCTGTATGTGCTGCATCATTGATAAGTGCGCTTCTTCCATAATTTTTCATCGCAATATACTGCTTCGGTTATGAGCACATGTGCGCCGCAAAGAGTGTCAACGCGCGTAACATCCATTCGCCGATCTGGGCTTTTTGGTGAAGGTGAGCTTTTTTTCGCTTTTTATATTATCTTTCATTCGACGCGCGCTCGGAATGCTCGATTCCTTTTATGAAGCATTATTATATGTATACATCGCCACACGGATGGGCATATATATACGTATATGTACGAGCTCGGCGTGACGAAGCCGATCATCGCGCGCATACACAATCGGTGAAAAATTATAAAACATCGTGACACGGAGAAGGTGTTGTGTGTGCGCATGCATATACACAGTGCAGAGAGAGATACGAGCAAAAGCTGCTCGCGTGTACGGAGTCGATCGAGCTCGATAGTGTCAAGGGAAATTGTGCATCGTGTGGGTATATACGTATGCGTGGCTCTGCGCCTCCTTCGCGCAAAAGCGTATATTATTATCTTATAACAGCGCGCGCGTACACATACGAATCCAATGGATTATTGTTTCGGAGCGCGCGCGAAAAGGTGATGTTCGCCACGTGGAGCTGTGTATAGCGTTCATACAGGAGGAAAAATTCGGGTAGCTCTCTCGGATATGTAGTATAGGTACGATATTAGCATCGAGATGTTTTCGAAGCGATACAAGAAGTTTCTTCGATTTTTCCATAGTACACGGAATGTAGTTTAAATTTGCACTTTGCACGGCACTGATGTACCGTAATATGTATAGCTGCGAGAAGATATCGATTTTTCTTTCTCTCTTTTCAGCACGATCGAATAATATAAAACAATTGATTTCGGAGCGCAGGTCGTAAGCCGTGAACTTGCGCCGCTGATCGTCAGAGTGGAAAATTAATTATCGTCACTCGGCTAAAGCTTATAATATAAAAAACGATGAAAAGAAAAAATTGAGAAAATTGTTTTTCTTACATTATATGCTACCACGGAGTCGTGAACTTAAGCTGTTGCCATTGGAAAGTTCACGTACGAGAGCTGTTAAATATTTATATATACGATCACACATGTGTCGGCTTTAATTAAAAGCCGATCGACGATCGTCCCGACGAAGACGACGACGATTTAACAGCTCGCGTGCACAGTGCAGTACCTCGAATATAATAATCTTAGCTTTTACAAGGCGATTTTGCTCTATATATCGAGGAGAAATTAATACGAAAAAAATTGTCAATATATCCACTCTTTGATGAAAACACCAAGTGTACACACGATCCGAAACCTTACATTATATATCCTCTCTACTCCTTTGTAAACAAACATAGGCAATAAATCAGCTGACGAATCGTCGATCATGTAAATTAACGTAACGATGTTTCACACAAGCGAGATAATATAATGATTTATGACTGTTAAATTATCGAAAAGCAATTAAAGTTTTTTCATCGCGTCACCTTGTGTGCAGTTGTTTGATTTCAATGCTCGTGTATGAATGTGTGTGTGTGTATGTGTGTGCACATTTAGAAACCGAACATTGTTCATTTTTATTTGATAATTTCGGTCGAGCACCGAACTTTAATAAGTGATCGGCCCCGTAAAAGTGCACATTATGAAGGCACACATCGAGTCGAGATATTATTAAGGCGCTGACGTATCGAATCGCGCGGAGAATCGAATGATTGTGTACGTGTTTTGATGTATACATAGGCGATGGTTACGTAATGTGTACGTTTGAGAGAGAAAGAGAGAAAGAGAAGGACATGCCGCCGCACTCACATATGTAATACAGAAATTTGTATGAATCGTTGAAAATCTCGCAGATGCGCGCGCTGCTTATTATGAGCCCGATTATGTAAATTTTTCGTATAATGCATTATGTGTGACGTAAAAATGGTATTAATTATCTGTCAGTGGGACGCGGGGCTCGCCGCAGTGGCAGCAGCAACTTCAGCTGTCCATTGCAAAGGTTACGTTTTAATTTTGCATTATACATAAACGAGTACGTGGAAAATGTAAAAAAAAAGCACTCGTTAGATGTCGCAAGTTCGCTTCGTTTCACGTAGATCTTGTTGAAATTCGATTTTTAGTACCAAAATATAGATAATAATTTGCCTGGCACGCGTGTGCATCTCAACTAGCGTCATCGATAAAAATTACGCAACAACAACAACGACTAAGACGAGCGAGCTAGAGGGGCGTAAAAAGAAACACACATTACACGCGCTCGTCGCGCGCAGCCCGGCGCATTAATTTCTTGACAAAAACGGTAAAAGGTTTTCCTGCGCGTGTAATTCCTCGCGTCATAGGCTTCTAAATCAAATCCGCGCGCGAACTTTCATCGTGCACGCGCATGCATGTTGTACACAACCGAGTGTTACGCGGAGCTTCTTCTTCTTCTTCGGCAAATAATAAGGATCCTCACCTTTTTTTATTCCATACTCTCCATATACATCGCCGTGTGTTTGTGTGCTCGTGTGTGTAAATTCGAATACACGCAAATATGATTTATGGCTCTCGAGTAATTGTACGTATGCCGACTTCGCGGCGACGACCCATCTTTTTTTTTTTTTTTTTNCTTTTTTTTTTTTTTTTGCGACGTGCGCCGTGGTCCCGATGATTTAATATACTTACGTACGCGCTCGCGCGCGACTTTAGGCTGAATTTCTAAATAAAACACAGAGTTATACGAACCCGATGTAACGTGTTTGTATGATTATAATATGGTCGATGCCACTAAAGGCGAAAATATCCTTTCATTTTCAATGAATACCGCGCGGAATTGTGTTTATAAAGCTCTCTCTCTCTCTCTCACTTGGCTCCCGCTCATAGTACGGATAGATACGACTGCTGCAGCATCGAGGGAGAAAGTATATAGTACCGCTGCATTAGATCGACGGAGAGGAGACGATTTGAAATGTATATATCCTTAATTAATATCTTGTTCAATGTAGAAGAGCTGGCCCCTCGCGCACGATGACTGAGTTTTATTCTATGCTCGTCTTGTAAAAGCCGCGCACACACAGACACACGGCTTACGGCGAACGTGCGGCTTGATTGGATTTGCGCGAAGCTCCAACGCTACCGTATATAAAGTGCGCCGCGCTACCGTTTTCAACCTCGTTATAGAATGACTTTTATATGCGCTTATAGCGATATATATACCGCGTGTATCGAGCGCGCGCCGCGACGACGGGGTTGTGCTTTTCCGCTTTTTCTCTGGAAAGCAGCGAGCTATCGTGAACGGGATATGGTACTGTCGCTGTATACACAAACACGTTTAGCTGCGGAGCTGATTTAGTTTTTGCCAGGCTGTGGGTTTCTTCGGTTAGCGTTTGTTTGTTGTTTTTTTTTTTTTTACCCAAGCTCTATCCTCTCTTATTTTCTGTACGTTTCCAGGCAGAAATTGATGAGTCAATCGATTACGTGTGAGTGTCTGCTGCGCATTAAAATGATAATAATCAGACTGCACGCGATCGCGCGCGCGAGAGTAAGAGAGAGTTGTTAAAAGAAAATTAAGGGCGCGTTTTTTTACGAGAGGAATATACCATAATAATAAAAATTACATTTTAATAGAATAATTTAGAGAAAACGATGACAGCCCCCGAGATTTATGATTGTTCTTTTTTTTCGTTCTAACTATACAGGCACGAAAAAAGACAGAGCAAAAAAAGTTGTTACCGCAACGAGTGTAATACACCGAGAGCTGTTTCAGCTCAAGCTCGCGAGAACGTTAAAACCCAAGTCCGCGCGTATATACATAGGCTTGCAAAATTCTTGCCAACTCGCGAGCACGAGCGTGTATATAATCAGTTGATAAATCAGTTGATAAGTCAGTTGATACTTGATAAAGCACTTGAAAAATCATGTCAAATAATCACTTGCTATATCACTTGATTTATCAACTGACTTATCAACTGACTTATCAACTGATTTTTTTCAATAGGGTATGTTAATACAATAAAAGATTGAATCAGATAATACAATTCACAGGGTAGATCTCCTTCATATTTGTGCATGTGGAATGATAAAATTAAATTTCAAGTTAAGCGTATGAACATTTTTAAAATATAGCAGCATCCCTTCATCTTGAGAGAATTTTTAAAATTTTTTGTTTCATCTTTTTTATTATCGATTGAATAAAAAAAAAACTATAGACTGTACCAAGTAATTAACAGCTATGGTTATTTGAAAATAATTGCATTTTAATTACATTTAAACTTAACAGCTTTACAAATTACATTCAGAATAATGTTTTATGATTACAATGGTACATTTACAAAAAGATTCAAGAAATACCTTTTCATGCAAAGAACAAAGTATATTGAATTATGAAGTATAAACAATCAGTAATAATCAACTTGATATATTCTACCTGCAGATATGCTGAATTTAAACCACAATCATTATATAATTTAACTATGATTTTCTGGATGACAAACTGGACAAGATACATTTTTTTGAGATTTTACTATTAATTGAGTTAAATTCACCCATAAATCAGGATCATGCATTTTCTTCATCTTTTCAGAATTGGAGAGTAATTCAGTGTTAGTTGTAATAAACTTTATCGTTTCATCTTCCAAATACTTTGTTTTGTATTTATGAGCAGCTATTAATATCTTGATAGCATTTTTAGATGACAATTTAGAACCTAATATTTTTTCACATTTAATTTTCAAATTGTCAATTTGATACTTGTCAGCTACTTCTAATAATTCAATAGTAATATCTACTTTGTTGATAATAACCTCAGCTGTGTAGATGTATCTCAGCATTTCAATTACAGTATTTTTAGTAGTGTCAGTTATGTTCACTGAATTTTCTGTATTTTCCAACATATTGTGAGTAAACATGGCCCTAAATACAGGGCTGGCAGCTGCGAGTATAGCTTTGTGAGCTGGGATATCATTTCCATCAGAAGTTATAATTCGAATATCACTGAATTCTTCACAGAGAAACAATGAGTCTAAGTTTATTTTATTATTTATCTGATCTGTCATGTTGATATTGTCTAATTTCAATGAGGATTCAAATTTCTTGAAAATTTCTAATTTACAATGAATAGTTACAGTATTCTGGGAGGAAATTAATTTGTCAATTTTTTTTAATTCATAAAATTTCGACGAACCGTAGACAAACACTTTATTACTCGCAAAATCGTAATGCCCTGTAACTTTTTCAATAACTTTTTTATCTTTAACAAGTGATACTGTCAATTTACATACGAGCTTATCCGGTCGCTTCGTAGAATCAATTAGCGGTATAAGATATAACGAAATGAATCCTGCATCTTTCTCACTATGGCCTGCAGGGTATAGCCACAATTGAAAATAGTTTTTAACATTACTTCCCACGCCAAATTTTGGAGATTCTATTTTTTCTCCAACTTTTGATTTTATTAAGCTATAATTTTCGATCGTCCACGTGTAAATGCAATTACCCGAAGTAACTGTGGTAGATGCATCTATTCGTTGGTCTGATGCCATTTTGACTGACGTAACTGATAACTTTTACACACTTATTACTTGATTGAGTAAACTTGGATGGATATTTAATAAAATTAACAAAAAGCGCAGACGAGATAATAGTTTCGACAGCACTCTTCCCAACAATGGCACTTACGCGTATGAAATGCTTTTTGTCTGCTCGTGAAAAGCGACTAGTTCAAATGGCGAAAGTATAGAAACACTTTTTGATGACAAGGATATGTCCACGCTAATAAATTCACTGTAAATTTCAATGCCCAACTCTCGATCTTATAAAAACGTTATGTGTGTAAATTTCGAGCGTAGTAGGTCGCCCGACGTTTTAAACTGCTGGGCGCAAGAACTTCTGAGTTCTGCGTGTGTGTTTTTGTGTCTTGTATGAGATGTGACTCGTGAGCACTGAGCGGTGTAAGCCTGTTCAGCGTGTGATTCATTGAGGTACATGCGCTTATTGTTTTCTACAGTACTAGATAGTAGTAAATTTATTTAATTAGGTTCGAACTCGTACCACTAAGCAGCGCGTTACTTCTCGAAAAAAAAGCAGTCGACTTGGGTTTAGAAATAAGCACGGTTTCAAAAAAACGGTTAGTTTGAGATCGATTAGCATTTTTATTAATACCCCTGTGCCGTAGGTTCCAGCTAGAACCGATGGTTCAATCATGGTCATTGAAGTCTCATTTTGATCATTAGATGTGTGGTTACAAACGCAAGCACTTTCAGTCTTTTTAATTAGTTATACACAATTTGCCAGCCACATATACACATTTATTCATTAATATATATGATAAAATGACGGATTATGCTACAATATAGCCTGAAATAAGAACTCATTTGTCCCAATACCTTTGAAAGTGCTTCCGTTTGTAGCCATTCTCATGTAGAACAATCTCTGAAAATTTTAGTTCATTTGCTCAAACTGTTCACATGGAAAGTTACGGCAACAAAGCAATTTCAAGATGAAACGTAACTGCCCAAGAGTTAATAAAAACAAAAATACACCAATTTATGTCATAATGATACTCTCATGTCACTGAGGCTGCTTTAAACTTTTTGGACAATAAAAAACAGTAATTCAACTTGAATTTTCAACATATTAGACCCACAAGGACAATGTTCAATTATCTCAGAGAGACACACAAAGCCAAATGCGACAATTTTATCACTACATTTTATAAGTTGTACTAAAATGTTAGTATATGCTAATATGGGTTTTATGTGGAAACTGGTAACTAAGTTGATTATGTCCAAATCAACTTTTCACACAAATATACACAATCTCACATTAGAACTTGAACTCAGTCCTCTACCTATTCACTCACATTCATAAAAGATTGGATCTATAGTTGAAAAAAAATCACTCAAAATTGATCAATTATCATTAATCTTGTTTATCACATGCAACAATATACATGAATATTATACGTGATACAGTCATATACACGTACATAAAGTACAGTGACATACATATAGGAGGTACACTGATGTATATATGTCAATTTACATATGTACTGCTGTATTTCTTGAATTTGAAATGCTAAAAATTTCACATTTTCATAAAAAGCTATTGAAACATCTTCATAGATTTATTATGAAACACTATGTCAAGTTGCAAAGATATAACTTCACTGCTCATGTACTTTTTTCACTTTCAAAAAACAGTAATTTTTAGCCATTGGAAAATCAAGTAGCAGTCAGCAGAATGTGATTGACATTTGATCCGGGCCCGCGCACGAAACAGAGAGAGACAGAAGATATGCCGAAACCCACGTGCTGCGAGTGGTGGCGTTACTGTACACCTATATGCATGTAAACAAACAAATTTCTGCTAGATGTACTCTAACCAAAGAATAAAACGAGTTCATGGGGCCCGCGGTAGCCCAGTGGGCAGACTGCAGAGGCTCTGCTTTCTGCCTGGGAGATCGGGGTTCGATTCTCGACCCCGTCTCCTGTATAAACACTAAATACCTGCCAAGGATGGAGCCACGAAAAATTCAAGGCCTGATAAAGAAAAGAAAAACGAAGATAATTGCGTTCTGACTGACGAGCCAATAAAATAATACAATAATGTAATAATGCAATGATTAAAAAATGTATATTTCAAATGAATGATGTTTAAACATTGTAACAGAAAATAGCGTTCTGGCAAAATTACCACAATGTAAATGCCAATAAAAATCAACTAAACTCGAGATTCATGAGAGAATGGCAACGATATACCTTTGAGTTGTTTCATTCATTTTTTCTAAATAATCGTAAAAGTAACGGTACTAAATAGTCTGTACATCACGATACAGTAAAAATTTTAAAATTCTGATCACGGCACTATATAGCTGAGGAAAAATCCTATCAAAAAAGTCAAAAAAAAAAATTTTTTTTTGAGATTTTAGGTACCTTTCCACCCGTAATTGATAGTAAACTTCAGATAAAATTAACTAACCTAAATAATTTTTGAACCATGAAGCAGATTTTCATAAATCATTGTAAATCTTTATTTTTAATGAAAATTCCAGTCATTTTGAAGCTTCTACAAGAAATTTAAATCATCAACAAAACTTCCTCTACTTTAACATTAATTTAATTCTAAATATTTTCAACAATGTGACAAATAGGAACATTCAACGACTGCGATTGAAAGTAAAAAGTTGAATGGAAGATAAAAAAAATCGAAGATAAATCGGTGAAAAACTAGGTCGACGGCCGGCATAGATGCACAAAAGAATAGAAAAAAGAAAAGGCAGAAGTAAATATCGGTTTGTAACGCGATCTTCATCTATAAAACTTTACTCGCATGGATACATTCATATATAACATTTAAAGCTGCGCACGCGCGCCCGCGTGTCGCCCGATGCGAAGCTCCAGGCGCAAAAGAGAGCTAACGCTCGGCAGCGCGGAGGATTATTCACGGTCGCGGGAAGAGAGCGAAAGTTCATATATAATATTTGCCGCGTGCCGCACTTTATAAGATGCATATCTATCCTATATATATTATATATATGGCAGCAGCAGCCGAGAAATGTGTATTTGTAAATATATTTAGGCGTGTACGAGTGTGTGAGAGTCATATCCTCTCCTGTTTTCCTCTCTCGAAAGCGCGTCTAAACACCGCCTTTGTAATTATCTCACATTACACGGGTACATTACCAGCGGAAGGATGTTGGCGCATTGACTCATTATTACGCGTGGCATTGTTTATATGTATTTATCTGGGCTGTTGTACGTCGAGGATAGGTAAATGTATTTAAATACGCATTCGGCATCGAAGCATTCAGTTATCTCAAAACGACGAAAAAAGGCGTGAAGAAAACTCCGGAAGTGTGAGACGACGCGTTTATAAATGCCGGGGCGGAGATTACTCGAGTAAATAAGGCGACTCGTGTATATAGCGTGCAGGATATGTGCAATGAAGAATATCTTGCGTCAGGACCCAGGCTCGTACTTTTTGAGAGGAAGAATGTTCACTTTTTTCGCACGTGACAATAAAAGCCGAACCGTGCGTCGACATATATGTGGACACTTATCTACACTGTTTAAAAAACCTTAGATTTAGTGCATATTTGATGTAAAATTAGACATTTGAATTAAAGTGACTGATACTGAATTTTACTTTTAAGTAAATTATTATGTTTTACTTTGTTTACTTTGTAAAACTACTTAGTTTACTTACTTTGTTGAAATAAAAGTTAATATGCAAGTGTTGCGTATAATCCGGGCGCCAGCTATGGGTCGAGTATACATTTTCAGGTCCATAAGGTAACCAAAGCTTTTTATCGGTTTTTTGGTGTGCTGAATCGATTTAGCTTGGTAACCAAGCTAGATCGATTCAGCACACCAAAAAACGTATAAAAATTTTTTTTATAGTTCAAGTCTAGTCTATATATAAGTTTATATATATAGGTTGATATAAGTCTATATGTAGTTTAGTCTATAAGTAAGTTTATATAAAATATTCAAATGTTCGGTTTAATATTATAAATGAATAATAAAATTAAATATTCAACACATTTCTTAACTCATACGTGTACATTTGATTTTATGACCACAAATATGTCCAAAAAAATTTTGTCCGACATTTTTCCACTATATAGTGTTTGGCGGGTCTTGAACTTTTATTCTGTGATGAAAATTAATATGCTCGACATTTAGACTATAAATATTTCTCGTTCGTCACATGTCCGACATATATTTCCGTCACGTTTGAAGACATATTCTTAATTTCAAAATGTCCGGTCATTCTACACTCGGTACGGTGTATATTTAGTTTCCAAAGGGGCACACGGGTTTGCGATATCAAAATCGGTTCCTTTACTCAAGAGCTTCATCCCTCTTAATTTGGGTGGATAAATATTAAACGGTGCTCCCCCATTATTCATTTCAAATTTTAAAACTGAATTTAATAAAAATCTAGTTCCCATTATTGAATCAAGGATTCTGAGTCTTGGGGTGAGGGCACCGCTTAGAAACAATTTTTTTAAAATAATATAACCCAAAAACTATTCTGAGAAAATTTTTCAAAGCTCTAGGTACACCGGTGCTTTTTATATAGCACTAAGAAATTATAAATTTAGTGAAGTTCCTTTTTAAAATCTAAAAATATCGTATGAAAATACTTTTATGGCTTACCATACTTCACGCTACACCCGTATAATCGAGTTTTATGTACTTTTATAACTTTCAATATACTTTATACTATTATAATTATAGTCACAGATATTGTTTAACTTATTAGAAAACAAGATCCACATCGGTTCCTCCAATATTAAAAGTTTCAGAGAGTTCCACATATAATAAACGTGTCGATTGAAAAAAAAAGAATAAAAAAAAGTACGAAAACCGCGCGCACGCCGCTCGGCATGGTTTAAAATTTATAATTCTTCGGGCTCTCTCTTTCTCCCGAAGCTATACATATGTGTAGGATTTGGCGTCGTCGATCGTAAATAAAATATCATCATCGCTATTATCGCGAGCGCCGTGCGGGTTTTGCACGAGCGCACTGAATTTGATTTATGAAAATTTACAGTGTTGCGAACGCAGGCGCCCGCGCGCGCGTGTGTGTACACAGAGCAAAGGGGAAAATTATCCCGAAAATTTTCGCCAATGCTCGCAAGCTTATTATTACAACAGCAACACAAACTGCACACACACACACACACACACACACACTCCTCGATGCGGTGCTGCTCAACACCGGCGACGTGCCGACTTTCAACGGCCGACAGGGCAGCTCGGTCGTCGACCTG